GAAACATCAATGATGAGAGAATCATCAATCAGCTATCTCCTGCATGCCCTCTACTGGGGATCAAGCCCACAACCTGGGCATGTGCCCCAACCTGGAATCGAACCATTACCTCTAGTTCATAGATCGATGCTCAACCACTGGGCCACGCCAGCTGGGTGAGATTCAGTAATACTTTTTAACATAAAGAGACAAATGAGGGGCAGCTTACAAAATTTTCTGAGAAATTCCAGATACCTCATTCATTCTGGCTTCTTAAATGTTCTTGCCTCATACATTGGTGATATTTTCCTGATGAGATGAGAATTAACTGGGAGCTGTAGTTTTCTTTCTTTTTGAGCTTTTAATGATGTAAGATTATGGACTTTGATAGGGCTCTTACCTATGTACTGTCACTTTTTACAAGAAGGGTGGGTGATTGAAATCTTCCTCAATGAACAGTAGGGTTAGTATGTTGGAAACCCCTGAAGTGACCAAGGAGCGAACTTTCCAGGGAGATAGTCGAATATACAAACATTTCCTTTATACACCTCTCTAGAAAGCAAAGGGAAGCTATACAGCAAGTCCTCAAATAACTGTTTTGTTCAACATCTTTTGGTTATAACATTGATGAAATGCTTAACTCTAATTTTTGTAAATTAGCCTGAGGTAAAATTGGTTTTGTTATATGTCATTTTACTTGAAGTCACAGAACCTATCAACGACATTAAGTGAGGACTTTCTATACTTTGAAGTATGGCTTTCCTACTTTCTCACTCTATTTTCCCTGCATCTGATTTGTTTCCCCCACTCTTTCCCTTTCTCTGTTAGCCAGACAACTAGTAAGGCAGTTTGCTATGTGTGCAAGTTTTCATTTAAGAATTCCTTTAGTTGACATTCGATCACATCTTTACTGGTGTTGACTTGATATCTTGTTGCTACCAAGAACTTTAATGCCTTTAGCTTACATGGTAGCATTTAAATAAGGACACCTTGCCCTAACTGGTTTGGCTCAGTGGATAGAGCATCGGCCTGCGGACTGAAGGGTCCCGGGTTCGATTCCAGTCAAGGGCATGTACCTTGGTTGCGGGTACATCCTCAGTGGGAGGTTTGCAGGAGGCAACTGATCGATGTTTCTCTCTCATCGATGTTTCTAACTCTCTATCCCTCTCCCTTCCTCTCTGTAAAAAATCAATAAAATATATTTTAAAAAAATAAGGACACCTCTATGTAAAAATAACTCACTCATAAGCCTAAAATGCCACAAATAAATGTCAGTTTTTGATATTTGTAATTTTACTGGACTCCTTCCACACTATCACCATCCGGCCTCTAAATACCTTTTGAGAAAAAACAATATATCTAGTTGTTACTAGCTATCAACGACTTGCTAAAAAGTAGAGTTTCATGTCTAGTCACTGTAGGGCTCAGATAAAAGTGGCTTTGATGGAGTATGAGGTACACACTAATTCATCTTCTAATACAGGAGCTGCCCAGAGGAAAACCTAGAAATGACCACCAGATGTCAGTGCAATCATTGAGATACTAATGTAGCTAAGGTTTGATCAGAAAAGAACTGTGAGGGTAGACAGGGCAAGAAGCATTAATTC